TGCATCTGCAGAAACGTCACAAGATTTATTCAAAAGCTCATCGCCTGCCATCATGACGATACAGATAAGGATATTATAGGGAGAAATTGAGTTTGTACATTTTAAATTAACAATAATATATATTTAAGTATAATATTATGTTTTGTTAAACGCTCATGGCAATAATGTGGCATGTATATAATACTTACATATAAATAGAGACTAGAGTTAGGATGTTGATGACTTTAATTTTTTTCCTTTGATTCTATAAAATGCTATYCTAGCTAAAAATTTGTTTCATGCTCCCTTGATGCAGAATATTATTCTAATATTATTTTGCATTTTTAGCCATTTTTAGCTATAAATGAATTTTTTTATTTTTAATGTCATTTTTTAACATTTTCAAGTCATTTTTTGTGGTTTTTATACAATGTGAGGCATTTTTCTCAAGTTTTAAATTAGAGCAAGTGTAAAACCCAAGTTTTGAAACAAATTTAATTTATTTAAAATTTTAAAATCTAACTTTGGATTTGTATTTATAATACTGTTTGAGACTTTGGGTGCTATAGGTATATTGTCAACACCTATAATATTGATAAAACAAGTGCTCTTTCATAATACRCTGGTTATACACGCTTATCAAACGTTACGCTTATCGAGTATTATATATTTATAAATTGTTTGAAAAAAATGTATAATAATTTTATATAATGCTTAAAATGTAAATRTATGCTTACTTTTTTCATTTAGTAGATATCCACATATAATGTGCATAATATGCCGTGCGTGTTTTAACCAGTGGCGCGTATATATATTTGAAAGGAAGTAGAAATTGTCACTGGCCCTTAAAAAGTTAAAACTATAACAAGACATTAAGATTTTCCCTATAGGTACTTGTATATTTTTGTCACTGCAGGTGTACTAAAGTTCGTAAAACATTTAATGTTAGTGGGTAATTTATACTTGCCTTCTAATAGAAATATTTAAATAATTATATTCCACACATAATACATATACATAATTGAAGTTTAATATATATAATATTGTATATGAGTATTACCTTATTGTCCCGWRCCCACCYAAAATGACACCATTTAAATCGGGAAATCTTTTTTAAACATTCATTGRATTATACAGAATCTGTAATAGTTTTTACAATAAGAATAAACATAATATATGTATATACAAGACATGAAGACGCCGAGAGATAAGTCACCCAGCAGTAACACTCAGACGCGAATTCGTTTTAAGTTAACATTAAAAAATGATTAGTTCAACACATTACACYTAGTAATATATTGTTTTTAATAAAAATCGTGTTGATATAAGGTGTCRCAAATGTGTGATATTAAATTGTCAACTATCTGTAAATTATTAATATTACTTACTGTACAAAATGTATAGATTGTGATTTTTCAAAGTAAAGTAAAAAAAAAAAACATGTATTGTACACGAGCAATAAGTAATTAATGTGTAAAAAACCAAACAATTTAAAATAATTTTTAATATTAACTTAATGGATAATTTTTAAGCCAACCGAAAAAAAAATAAGTTACTTAAACTAATTCAAAATTCTTAAATTAATTAGACAGTCAATATTTAATAYTAACTATATAGTAAAGTTGTTATTGCTAACTTTTTTCTTAACTAAGTCTTTTTGACTATACAGTTAACGTGCTTCTTTGATGAAAATACCTACTTATCATTCGAGTACCATTTTTTAACTATCATATATTATACATTCATTATAATAGTATAGTTGCACGTGGTAGCTGGTACAGGTATATACCTATAATATCGACGAACTATTTCATGATTCCATATGGCTTCGTGTGTATAATATTGTATATGCGAATACGAACCATTGACGTAGGTACACAATATCACGTCAAACGGTCTGTTAAATTTAAACTGTTCATTAAATAATACAATATCGTATAATACATACTATATTATTATGGGTAATAAGAAGAAAAAAACTTATTACTCGTTTGATGTTTTTTTTCTACTGCAGAATGAAAGTCATGAATAGCATTATGATTTCGAAAAATATGTCGGTGTCGGTTTTCATTTATAATATATTAATATATTATGTGTGTGTGTKTGTTACACGCGTGCATTTTTTTACACTCTGAAGCGCATTGATGGGTTTCTGCGGCGCAGTGATTTCAGAGASCGCACGATTCCACTTCAGCGTTATCGAATTTCGCTGCAAACGGTAGCCGTCTATGTTAGCCACCAGATGAGCTGACATTTTTGTTCGGAGCTTAATAACACGTGTTCGTGTGCAACGATCACTATTTGCGTTTTGTTTTATTACCTACATAAATCTTAAAATCGTAATGTCTGTTATATTATGTATATACCTAAACGATTGTTGACGTATAATAATGGTATGGATTATAGAACATAGGGTATTACATAATATTATACAATTTTAAAAAAAAATTCAATAAATTGTGTTAAAATTACAATATTTTAATACATAGTTACGTGGACGCTATAGTTATGATTAATACTAAATATTATATAATAAATAATAATATATAAATACATTACACACAGTGACGCATAGCCAGGAATCATTCAAGGGGGAGGAGTTAAACAAATTTGATGTAACGTGTAATATGAGCACTCTGAACCTTATTGCAAACTTTACCAAAYATGTACCGATTATTGTRTCTCATTTGAATAATAAACTTTTGGTTAGCCGGATAATGATATATTATATTAGAGAACTTGAATTATTTCTAATTATTATATACACAGAAATAGGTAAAAATATAAAATATATTTTTTAAATCTTAATCTTTGTAATGTATCTTTTAACAACCATTCGTACACATTTATGGTTTTGTAACTAAATTCTAAATTTTATCAATCTTATTTTTCTTGAGTTTTTAGTGAATTCATTAATTCGTCATTGTTAAAATGATTTCATCATAAATATTTTGTAATTTTATACACTATTCAGTCTGTTTTTCCGAATTAATGTTTCTATACCTTCTTAGATATGTCTTAAGCTTTTTAATAAATTAAGTTATCATTCATTGGTCATTGTAGTTACAGTATATTTGTTATTTGAAAATGTTTATAAGTAGGCGATAGGAGAAAATTAGTGGGTTACGTTACAATGTTGGTTATAAAAGCTTTCAATACATTTTTTTTAGTTTTTCTTAGATTTAAACCAYTAGATCTTCTCTGGCTACGATGTTGTTAACACAACTATAATATATATAGGTAGTTGCCAGAAAATCAACAAAAAGAATAATTATTATGTATTTTTCTGTCTTCCACAGTTCAACAGTGAACCATGTATAAACGCGCGTGATAACAAATAGGACATAATATTATTGATATTATAAAATAAGTACCTATAAATAAAAAAAACTTATAAAATATAATACTTATATTTCTTAAGTGGAAATCGATTATAAGTTATAGACAAATTATATAGGTTGTAAACGATTTTTTAATCTTTTTTTCATACATCATACCTACAATTATTAATCAATGTTGAAATAGTATATAATCATAATGTAAAATTTTAATATAAGCAACACAAATTTTACTATGCTAGTAATGTTAGCTACCAATCAATTTAACTCGCATATATTTTTTTTTTGAATAATCTGTAGTTGTAGATTGGCTTAAAGTTGTATATCTATTCATTAATATAGTAAATAATACTGTATAATCATAACTCGTAAGAATCCAATCGAACGCGGTTCGATAAATTCGTATAATTTAAACGTTAATTTCGCCGAATAAGTAGATTTCAATTAATTTTGATATTGTTTTTGAATGTGTAACCGTAATATTAAATTATAAATAATGTTCAAATTTTGATCTTTTGTTGTTAATTATCTGCAGGAACTCTTAGACCTCCTGGACTGATTGGTGGAAGTAAACCCAAGGTTGCCACTCCGGCAGTCGTATCGAAAATTGAATTCTACAAACGCGAAAATCCAACGATATTCGCGTGGGAAATTCGAGAAAAACTCATATCTGAAGGTAATAAAAACAAMATTAMTGTATTATGTAGCTTGTATAATATTATAAAATATACAATCGATATGAAACAAATATTATTGTTTTATGATCGGTATAAATGSACATGGTTGATACAAATCAATACATTTTTAATCTTTTCATATTATTCTTTAGATTGGTAATTATCTTAATAACCAAATGAGAATGGGTCACTAAATCACAGTAACTATGCTTTCTAATAACTATAACTATTACAACAGTATAATAGATATCTGTATAATAATCAACAGTGATAATAATAATAATTGATTCCGATTTTTAGGATAATGTATAATTCTYTATAGTTATCAATATAATAATACCTATTGGTATAAATGCGTTTATCTTAATCGCATGGTATATTGGAGGGATTTGACTTCAMTTTAATTTATCTATTTAMGATAGCTTTACATTTTATGATTCTGTGGGCATTTATTATAATAATATTTAATGATAACATTTGATACAATCATCTATAACTACTAATTTTAAAATATTTTGTAACTGATCATCTGGAATATCGTTAAACACAAACCAGTGCCTATTTATATTGGTTTATTCATTATTCACATAGAAATGTATTCAAATATGTTTTACACTTAGGTATTTTTCAAACTCATATACAAAAATATTCGTCTATTTTTTACAATAATTACACCTACAGACCAAACGAGTAAAAATAAAAAGAGCACGGGTCTAAAAATGAACCATCCTATTGTTAACGGGTATTTTGTCTGCGCCTATTCATTCACTTAATTTGAACCTCTTGTTAATAATTTTAAATTTATACAAAACTAAAAACACAGTTTTATACGTTTCATAAGAATGAATTTAAAGTAGCCGTACTCTTAATATATTATTACACAAAAAAATAATAATATCGAAATTATTTTATCTATAAAATTCACTACACAATTTGTAAGTATGCTAAGTCAAATTTATGTTTTATATATAATTTTTTAATATATAATCAATAACTAAACAGGTATTCATTTTTAACCAATATTATGGTTAAGGTAATACCAATCTAAGCTCACTATTGTGTAACATTATCTATAACATTAACTAGTTTTGTGCGCAATCAAAAATATTAAATACCCAACATTGATTCGATCCCGTTACATTTGACACGCACACTGATAATATTTGATATTTTATATTATCAGATCGAGATATTATCATAATCGGAAAATATAATGTGACACGTAAGACGTTGTAAATGTGCGAGGATATTATTAAAATTTAAATGATATTTATTTATAATTTAAACTATAATTCAGCGGTTCTCAACCTTTTTATAGTCACGTTTCACGTACCACCTACACAATTTGAAAATTTGTACGTACCACCTGACCATATTTTTTTCTTATTAATAATGTATACGTTTATGTTATATATATATAGAATTTTGTTAATAAATTAATTTTTTATAAAGGTAGATTTTCTTCACGTACTACCTATGAGCTTTCAGCGTACCACTATAATAATAGTGGTACGCGTACCACTATAATAATAGTGGTACGCGTACCACTGCAGGTTGAGAAACGCTGTTATAGTTAACAGAATTGAACGATAAATCGAAACAAATAATATATGTATTGTAAAACATGGCGTTTATTATAAAGTTGAAAAGAAAAACAGATCAACTGCGTGATTTACGAACGTTTGCGACCTACCTACGTGTTTACGTGCATTCGCATTTGTCGACGTATTATTATATTAGCGACCCGTAGACGTGTCACGATTTGTCGGACGATATCATAGATGTTTAGGCACATAATATGCCCATAATCTAAGTATATTATTACATTATATACATMGTCAGGTACCTGCCTGCCTGTGTAATAATATTATATATATTATTATTGTATATTTCTATAGTCTGTTGGTACCTACGTGACTCGCCAAGTCGACGTTTATCTTACGTTCACGTTGTCTCGTAACGAATCATTGAAACATATTATCGTTTTTAAAAACGACATCACACAGACGCAGGTTCGTAATTAAATTGGTCATGGGGATCATTGGGTGTTCGGCGTGTGTACAGCAATAATATATACGTATGATAACTTACCCATATATATATATATATATATATATATATATGTGTGTGTGTGTGTGTGTACGCGTTGTACATTGTACGCCTCCGACGGTAATTCGGCGTGGGCTTGAAGGCGCATTTCTATCTCCTTTTCATCGTAATATTTTCT